CCGGGTCTCAAGCTATAGAGCTTGCATCCCAAACATGATAACTGACAAATCAGTAACCAGCTAGATCATTCTCTCCTCCCCTTTGTCATCGTCCGATTTTGTTCCGTTGGATGGGTTCCGGGAAACCGGTGCTGTGATCCCAAATCCTCAAATTCGGTTGGTCTCAGCATCCCCGCTCCACCGGACTTCGACCGTGTTTACGCCTGGGACTAATCCACACCACCCACAGATACCATCCGAACCCAACATCTGTCATCCAAATATGGATGCCTCGCAACTGCCCGTGGCCGGCGCTTCGGATGTCGCAAATCAGTCGCATCTGGAGCAGCCCCAGAGCCTTGATACACCCGCTCCCGCAAGCCTCGGACTGGCGGGACCAGACGAGTTCACAACTTCAAATGGCTACAGTAGCGACTCGCGCGCCCACTACTCCTCCCACGAATTCAACTCCCCGGCTCGCGATTTCCACAATGAAAACGACCAACCTCGACAGAACTTCTCCCCGCTAACCCATCAGCCGCAACCCTTATCGTCATCCCGCCCCAGCTCCGAAATGTCCAACAGCCTGCCCCAGCCTACACACGACATCAGCCAAAAGCAACCGTCGCAAGCAGCCAAGAACAGTGTTGTCATCAAGGTGGGAATGGTCGGAGATGCTCAGATCGGAAAAACCAGTTTGATGGTAAAATATGTCGAGGGTAGTTGGGATGAGGATTATATCCAGACTCTCGGTAGGCAGCGGATTCGTGCGTGGTTAGGAATGATAATGCTGACCGTGATGTCAAGGCGTCAACTTCATGGAGAAGACTATCTCCATTCGGAATACGGAGATTACGTTTTCTATTTGGGATCTGGGTGGCCAACGTGAATTCGTCAACATGCTTCCCCTCGTGTGCAACGATGCTGTCGCAATTCTGTTCATGTTCGATCTCACGCGCAAAAGCACACTGAACTCGATCAAGGAGTGGTACCGACAAGGTCGCGGGTTCAACAAGACGGCCATTCCCTTCCTGATCGGTACCAAATATGACCATTTCGTCAACTTTCCCCGCGAGGACCAGGAGGAGATTTCGATTCAGGTAAGTGAGAATGCATGTGAGGTGTCTTAGCGCGCACTGACCACCTATAGGCGAAACGGTTTGCCAAGGCCATGAAAGCCAGCTTGATTTTCAGCAGTACAAGTCACAGCATCAACGTGCAAAAAGTATGCCAATTCATGCAGTATTACCTGATGCTAGTGCTAACAGCATGGTAGATCTTCAAGATTGTCCTGGCCAAGGCTTTTGACCTCAAGTGCACAATTCCCGAGATCGAAAATGTTGGCGAACCCCTACTACTGTATAAGAACGTCTAAGTCACGACCAAATGAGTGGGATGAACGATTACGTATAAGGGACGACGTGATGTTGATGATCGAACTTTCCCTACTTTGGGCTGTAGGATACGGTGATCTGGTGCCAAGTCCTGGGATCAGAAGCGACTGGTCTGTTGGTGTCCTCGCTACTTTCTTTGTCTATTTCCGTCTGTGTCTTTTCCTCATAAGCATTGGGATGCGCTAGGATTTCCTTCGTGTTGATCACTTCTCTTTGTTCTTCCATTTCCTTTCGCTTTCACTGTGTTAAATTCCCCACATTGTTTCTACTTTTCTCTTCGTTGAGCCCGTCAGCCGCAGGTGACAAGTCACATGGCGTGCCTGCGGCGATGGAGCAGGAGTGCTCGGTTACGGCATTGGCCTGATATATTTCTTCTACTTCTATTTCTTTTTCTACTACATGTCATTACAGCCACAGTGGATACTGTTTCTTATGTTCAGATAGCTCTAATGTGACCTGAGGTATCATCTGCCTCTGCAGGACTACATACTTCTTCTGGCAGGTCTTCCCGCGCAGGCAGTAAGTTTTTCAAACTAATGGTTAATAGTTCGAATCCGATAAGCTTTTCCACTTATAGAACTGGGTTATTTGTATTCATTATTCCCGGTATTAGTAACTATGGTGACGGATACGGAGTTAAGGAACCGATATATAAGATACTTTGTTGAACGCCTTCGATGTTCTATTATATCATAATACTATCATGTCGGCTTCTTGCTCTTCTGTTGTGTCAGTACTTGGCTGTTGTATGGTATGGAACATCAATAATCCAATACGACTACTAGTCTGGCCTATGAATAAGTTAGACGACCAATGGTTGCTCATAGGATTTTCCAATCATGTATTTAGAGGTCCTATTAGAGTTAATAAACTTCGTCACGATCCCTAAATAGCCAACCTTCTTCCAACAGCCGAATGTCTTCCTCATCCCCTTCCGCACTCGCTATTAGTGCAGACTTGAGTTCCGCAACTCTCTGGACAGTCTCATCATAGCGTTCGTTACTGACCCATCCCTCTTCGGACACACCACCGACTTGATCATACCACTGACTCGTCACCTTGTTCAGATTGAGCCATGTTTGTTCTTCATCGTGAAAGTCATTCAGTTCACCCGCTGAGAACTTTACAGGGCAGTGCTTCCCCTCTGTATCGGGTAGGTGAGGCCAATATTCTACCATCCGGACTAAAGTGCCCTTCAAAGTCACTAGATTTCCACTCCACTGACGGCCCGCCCCGTCAACGAGATGCTGCCGGGGAAGCAGAATGGGGTCACGTAAAGCTTCAAGATGGGGCTTGTTGTGATGACCGTTGAAGATACGGTAATAATAAGATAGTAAACGTCGCCGGTAGAGTTCATCCGCCTCGGCTTTTTCCTGTGACGACAGGGCCACATAGTTCGAAGGAAGTGATGGCTCTTTAAGATCAGTTGACTGTTGGAGATCGGGGTTTTCAAATGCACGAGGATAGCCAGCTGCCAACAGGCGTGGCTCAATGAAGGTGTGCTGCCAGTCAATGATATAAGACACAGCACCAGACTCTGGTGAAATAAAGATATTGTTTGGGTTCATATCTTTGACTTATTAGAATGAACGATGGCACACCACAGTTTGAGCACTTACCAGGATGCCGAAGTGTCGGTTTATTGAGACGGCTATTTGTGTCCTCCGGAAGCAGAAATGGAACTAAAGCGAGATACTTGTCCAGAAGTGGCAAGTAATCAGCCGGATACTTCAACCCAGGAAAGACGCCATTATATGGGAAGTCCAATTCAACTGGTTTCCCAAAGCAGCGGATCCATTCAGCCTCTTTTCTAGCAATACACGCTAGGTACTCTTTATGGTTGTTCCCTGTGAAGATGAGAAAGTGGGGGAATCATCATGTCTAATCATAAAAACTCACAGGGTCCACGATCAATATTCAGAGCGGCTCTTCTACCGTACGAAAACATGTAATCCGCTGTTGGACCAATACAAAATACTTCAGAGTCTTCGTTGTGTGGTACATCGGGAGCATATAGTGCAGCCTGATGGTCCTGCTTAATGTCCGTTTTGAAGTAAAGGCTCCCGATAGAGCCAAAAGGGATGTTGAAGAACTTCCTCTCACTCTCAACGAAGCTCGATGCAAGCTTATGCCGATCACGTTTGCTCATGCCATGCCATTTATTGTGCAATCCAACACCCATTGCCTTCTCCATTAGGATGTATTCCACACCGACAGGGTTATCTTCTGAAGGCGAATACCCATATAGCTGGGGCACAGGGATGCCTTTTGCATGGAGGAAGCATAGGGTAGCAGCTTCGCTAGCAGTGGCATAGTACTTGGGTCTGGTAAAGCGATATGGTATCTTCGCAATAACCTCGAATCCGTCATTCATTGTTATGAGAAAGACACGGTTGAAGCCACCCTCTGCTAATTTAGCGATGTGAGTGGCACGCCCATGGTCCCTGCCGACAAACTTTTCAGTTTCTCGTAAAAGAGCAATATGATCGAATTCAACGTAGCGCTCGTGTAGCCGGAGTAATTCGTTAAAAAGAAATCTACCGGATGTATAAGAGTACAGGTCGTGGTTTGCCGCAGTCTCGGAATGGAAGCTGCGGGCCGCGTGTTGCTTCAGTCCCATGAAGCGGCAATGTGCTTGCCAGGGCAACCTGCGCAGAGAAAGAGACGTAGTACTAGAATTCAATCGTCTAGACATGAGAAAGATAGATTGGGTTCAGATCATAGGAATGACCTGTGATGAAAACCTCTTCGGAGTACGAGAGGATTAGGTCCTATTGACAGACAGGCACGGCATGATAAGCCAGTCCGAGCTGCAGCCCGACAACACAACGCGCCCGCCCGGGCTGCCCCTTGCGGCAGCCCGCTGCTTCTCTCCTGTACAATACAATCTTAATAGTACAGAATCGCCTCTTTCAGTTACAAAACTACTGGAAGCTAATCTTGGTCAGCTAAGCTGCAAAGATATATCTACTCATATGCCGGGTACGCTGGCTTACTCTGCAAAACGATATGTAACATCAGTGTTTAGATATAATTCATGGGGTATAGGAAATGGTGCGTGGTCTCAAATCAAGCATCTTTCAAGAATTGAACGCAAAGCTTAATATATACGTCATCAAGACAAAGGGTAAGGCATGGTACGATATTAATAGGCGGTGCTAAATTTGGGTATGCAGGCTAATACTTACTATTTATTATGCTACACTAATACCCCGCTTGCTCAAGGAAAGACTCTTAATTGCGTAGATCTATGGCTGATTCGTTTTCCACAAGGCCCGAGGCCTACGTTAATAGGTCTATTCCTGGGGCCGATAAGGTATCCCAGGTAATACTGTACAGTAGTTAGGGTAGTTCGCTGATATTTATATGTTTAGTTCAGCCACCAAACTAGTCACTTAGCTGAAACGCCGCCATCATGACTCAACGGGGAGGTGTTGAGCTTCAATAACTATCTCAACCCCAACCCGCTTACGTTGGGATTACCTTAGATTTGTAATCTGTGTCAGCTCACCCTTGTAGCTTGAATATATAGCCACCTAATCGTCTCTAAGTGCAGAACAACTTCCATAAGGCACATTTCAGAAAGATACTATCTGTATATAATATCCAACAACCCATACTCTGAAAATGACGACAGGCAGCTGCTTCTGCGGGAATGTCCAAATTGAGCTTAGTGGCGAGCCTATGATAGTGGTTAGTACCTCACTAGGTATCAATTCCCTTCAACAAAAATGGTTCTTCTAATCAAGAACTAGGCCATCTGTCACTGCCACGACTGCCGCAAAGTCACCGGCACTCTGTATTCCTACAACTTCGTGTTCAAAGATGACAACGTGAAGATCACGGGAAATCCCAAAGAGCTACCGAAGACGTCTGACAGCGGAGTTCGGATCGTGAACCATTTCTGTGGTGACTGTGGTATGTGGATATACCGATCACGCAATATCTCTGAGTTACATCAATTGACCTATGGTGCTGGTAGGTACGCCGCTCTTCGGATATAAAGTAACTGCCGATGGAAGCGCGGGTGGATTCAGGGTCGTGCGTGCTGGTATTTTCGATGATGAGATCGTGAATAGATATAAGCCAGGACACGAGGTCTTTACCAAGAGACGGGTATGTTGGCTCGATGCTGCGGAAGGAGCTGAGCAGTTTGAGGGGATGGCGCCTCTGTGAGGCATGGAATGTTGCGGTGGGACCGTAGGTAGCTTACGAGATGAGGCTGAATGGGTAGTGTTTCGGCGTTTCATTGAATAGATTATCACTCACTCTTATACAATGAACGGACTTTTATGCATACCGAATAACTGTTTTATGAAATCTTACTGAAAATCTCAGCATCAAACCTGCCATGGGGAGACTGTCCAGATCTATGGAAGATTGTGGTCGACTTAAAGTGTCAACGTTAAGCTTGCAGCTTCCGGGCGGAAAGTGGAGCCGGGGTCTGGCTACAGGGTATCATATCCATGGGACTGGGACTCAGAGTACAAATAGCTCAAGGACCTTGGTAGAGAGATCGATGCCATATTATGTAGTCTCATACAAGGGGTGAATGGTAAGCGAGCCACGTGCACCGGTTATCTCCGAATGTATCTATCTGACCTTATCAGTCCGTGCATGCAAGGGATAATGGTAGATCTAATAGGCAATCATCATAATTATACAAGGTTGTGCTCAAGACAAGCAATTGTACTATTACAATACTTCTAATTCACAACTGGACAAAAACATTTATCTCTAAACTAAACAACTAGATCCGCGACACCCTCAGCCGCCATTGCCGGTTTTAAGAACCCGGACACCGACCGGTCCCCATGCAGTCTATATCCGGCCCTAACAACTAAATCCAAGGCAGGATCCGGCCTCCATATAATCTCCGACCGGACGTATATACAAAGTCCGAGTATAGCATGGATACTAAACAGCAGCTTCACCACTACCACAACCTTAACTCAACAACCAACCAATCAATACACACTTACATCATAAAATCTCTACCACCTAACCACACAATGTCCCCCCAAATCCTCACCATCCTCCCCGCCACCAGCCAACAAGGCCTCTCCATCATCTCCGCTATAACCAACCACCCAACCCTGCGCACCGAATACACTCTCCGCGCCCTAGTCCGCAACCCATCCTCTCCAGCCGTCCAATCCTTCACCAAGCAAAGCATCGAAGTCCTCCCCGCGGACCTCAACAACCCAGACACCCTCACCCCAGCCCTAACCAACACGCACACCCTAATCCTAATAACCCTAACGGACTACTCAGTCCCAGACCTCAAACACCAAGAACTCACGCAAGTGCAAAACGTCATTTCCGCATGCCCCAGCAGCATCAAACACATCATCTTCAGCAGTGCCGTGTCCGCCCACCCTCACGGACGGGAAGTAGACGTCTTCGACTCCAAGTTCGCTGCTGAGGAGGCACTACGCACATTAACCTCATCCCACGGCATTAAAGTATCGGTGTTCTATCCGGGCATGTTCATGCAGAATTTCGAGACGTTCATGAGACCTCTTCCTGATCCGGAGGGAAAGGCAGACTTGGTGGTGTATAATGTTGTGGATGGGAGGAAGAAGATCCCGCTGATTGATGCGGTGAGGGATTTGGGGAAGTTTGTGGTTCCGATCCTTACCGGGGAGACTAAGAAGGTTTATGCTGCTAATGGGGTTTGGTCGTTTGAGGAGGTGGTGGAGATTATGGGTAGGGTGATGGGGAAGAAGGTTCGGTATGTGAGGATGGAGGAGGAGGTGTATGCGGGGTTCATGCCGGGACAGAAGGGATGGCAGGTCGTAGATATGATGAGGTTTTATGAAGAGGTTGGGTATTATGGGGGTGATGAGGAGGGGAAGGTGAAGGAGACGTTGGGGTTGGTGGAGGGGGTTAGGGGGTTGGAGGAGTTTGTTGGGGAGAAGTTGGTTAAGTTGGAGTAAGGGGTTGATTCATCTTGATCTAAGTAGTACTGTGATATCTATCTGTTTTTGTTTATACATTTTCTGGTGGTGTTGTTCCGGTTGTTCTAGAGAATAGATATTTCACTACTAGCTAGGGTTGCTACTGGACGAAAAAGATACATACGCTTCCTCAACAGGTGTTCCAACTGCCTCCTTAAAGCGCTTTTCTGTCCAGTCAAAGACATAGTCATGGCTGAATCCCTGCCGCTTGAATTCGGCTGCGAATCTCTGCCGGAGCTTAGAGTAGTTCGGCCGCTGGTTATAGCGCAGCGATCTGACGTGTTCAAAGTATTGTTTGAACACTGCTGGGAGATCTTCGCACAATTCATCCAGAGTGATTCGTCTTTTCTTGCTGCCCATCTGCTGTTCGGGGCTTTGCCCCCCAACAGTAGTTGTCATACCACTCCAGGGTAATTTATCTTTGAAAAGGTCAATGAGCACGTAGCCAAAGCTCTCCATATCATCACGATACGTTTGACCTATACTACTGTTAGTATACTGTAACTACTAGCTCATAGTCAAGATGGTATTAGGGGAAAACACACAATGCAACTGATGCGCAGCCCTAGGTGCATAGTCGTTCGTACCCAGGAACGAATTTGCCTGATCTCCGTTATAATTCATCGGATTGCCAGGTGCCAGCACCTTCTCATGCGCAAGGCCCATATCCACAAGATAAATCTTGTTTCCCTCACGGCCTCTTCCCAAGAGGAAATTATCCGGCTTCAGATCCCGATGGATAATACCCTGGTCATGTAGAGACTTTAATCGACAAATCGCTTGGTCGGCTATCAAAAGAACTGACTTGAGGCTTAATTTTCCCCCGCAAAAGTATCTGAGGTCCCAGAGACTGGGGCCTAGAAGTTCCATACCCATGACGCGGTACTCATCACAGACGTCGGTAGGGAAGTGGAGTTTAAGCATGCCGGTGGATTTGCCCTTTTGGAGCTTCTCGTAGAAAAATGACTCCCTGGTGAGGGAATCAGAGAGCTTGGTGCGTTCCATTTTGAGCGCAACGCGCTCTCTGGATTTGGTATTGAGGTCAATGGCTGGGATGGTTAGTATGTGTAAAGGAGGAAAGGGGAGGGGGAGGGGGTTGTTACCTTCATAGATTTCGCCATAGGTTCCTGAAGAGATGTAATTGACAAGTTTGAAACGGTCTGCGACGATGATATTCTGTTCTCGATTAGCCACCGAGTTTTGTACATGTTGATATCACTCACGAGTTGCTCCATTTTCTTTTCCATTTTGGATTAACTCTATAGAATGATGCTAGGAATGTGTAGACAAGAGGGAGGGGAAGCTGGAGAAGGCATAGCTGCTTATAGTAGACTATGTGCTTATTGTAATATATTATAACAATGATCATAAAGGGAATGGAAATACTTTCATTCAATTTCTGTTTGTTAAATACGCTTGCATGATTTTGAAGGTGTGGGACTTGGCTGGCGGTGTTTGAACAGCATAATGGGCGTCTAGGCAAACAATGGAAGTCATTATAGAGTGTTTTAGAAATAGAAAGGTATAATGAGCATTATACTTCAGGCATTAGCCGTCTGAACAATGCACCTGCCTTTAGGGTAGAACATGATGCTGTATATAGATACCACAGTATCACAAACAAGGAAAGCTCTTTCTATTGAGCAGTCTACAATAAAACGTCAAAGGTTTGTTGAACACCCTTCTGCCTGAAACTAGTGAACAAAGGCTTTAACACCTAAACTAGACAATAGACCACTGTTGTCAGCAACACCACACCGCTGAACAAAGGACCAACACGGGCAAACAATGAACCCGGCGTTTACAATGCACTGTGCAACCAACCCACCTATATGTAGAAGCAAAGCTGGACGGGGCTCTCAGAATGTGTCATGGTCAAATCCAACACTTCCTACAAGCAGACACATCAACCGCACTGTACCACCATGGCACACACTCCAAAAAACGCCAGCCAACCCCACCAAAAGGCCAGCGCAAAGCGTGTAAAACGCGAGCTAAAATCCCAGCACACCAGCCCTCCGCAAGTATCCCAACCAGCTTGTCATGCAAACCCATTGCCCTTGAAAGGAGGAATGGCAAAAACGAAGAAGTCGGCTGCCCGTCGAAGGCAAAGAAAGCTTTTCAGCCAGAAATACTGGGATGAGCATCCAAGGATTCATTTAACTTACAGCGCACTTATGGAGTTCCGCCACCGCGAAGGAAAGATCAGATGGGGAAACGGTCGTGACGAGACACCACCCTTGAAAACTGACTGCAAGTCTGTCGAGGACTTTGCGAGAAGAGGCGGGCCTGATCTGACGCACCTGTGTGATGTAGGTTTCTGCCTTTCATTATCAGCCAGATTCATTACAAGCTAATCTTCTGATCTAGTATCAACATCGTAACAATCGAAACCGCGAATTCGACGTCCCCAAACTCAGTATGCCCGCTATCTACGACATGAATTTAGAAGGCTATCTGAATCATAACGGGGTCGAGAAACGGCTTGGTAGGGAGCGCGAGCCGTTCAATATCGGTGATATTCGACGGATAATGATGCAGAATCGATCCGATCTGGATAATTTTGGTCCTGGGGCAGCGCGTGGCATTGGTAATATGTGCAGGCAATATAAGACTAATAGCAACGTGCTGCCAGGCATCTACCTGAACCTCTTCGGCGCCCGATATGACAGCACCACGAGGCATACAGATGGACCGTTAGAGGGAACGATAACAGCACTCAAAAAGCATTTCTACAATATGGATCCCATAGTGCCGCACATGATCTCGGCCAGGCCTGATCTCGTCGATGGAGCCGATCCGAAGGCCCTCGTGGGCCAAGTGAAGGAGGAGAGTTCGGGGAGTGAGCCTGTGTGGTCGGGCAAAAGAGGAATTGGGCAGGGAAAGGACAAGGCGACGGGAAAGGGGAAGGGGGTAGACAAAAGCACAGACCAAAAAGGAGACCAGCCAACAATACACACAGAACTTGAGGGATACATCACCCCCTATCACCTCCTGGAAGGTGCGAAAGAAGACAAAGAAGATCCTGACAAGATGATCTTGCCGAATTTCTTCTTATACAACATATGCAAGCATGACGATCGACTTGCTGGGGAACGTGCTGCTTTGCATAGCGGTGCTCTTGGAGCAAGGGCACTTTTTGAGCTCGAGCATTATGGAAAAGACTATATTGAATTTAGCGGAAAGGCGCACACATTTGTTGCCGTGCTTGCGACTACCCATATGACCATCTACGCTATTCATGCTATTCCTCCTCAAGAGGAGGGGAGAAAGATGGACTTTCAGATTACGGCGATCAAGGCGTTCAAGTTATCTGATAGGAATCTCGGGCAAGATGAGCTCGTTGCAGTTGTTAAGAATGGGGTTACTGCATTGAGGAATCTCAGGGAAGAGGCACATCGCCATCGGCAAAGGCTCATTCGGAAAGCAAACGGCGACGATGGCGACGACGATGACAGCAATAATGGAAACAGTTCCCAAAGCTATAGTGAATCAGGCGGCAGCACTAGAGCAGGCAGCAGCACTGGAACTGGCAGTAATTCTGGTGGTGAAGGCAATGGTGGTGATGGAGGCAATGATGGTGATGGTGGTGACGGTGGTGATGGACAAAAGCAATATGACGGTAGCATGGAAAATGGCAGTGTCAAAGCTGACAGAAAACAAACTCTGAGTGGATCAGCGACGGAAAGAAAAACGGGAGCAAATGCTGGAGTAAGCCTTTTAGAATCTATGTACAAACTTGTGGGACGACGAGCAAGACCGTGACGACCTGACTGAATTGATTTTAATGCATCATCATACTTTATATAGCTTCCATACTATACATTTATACATCGATTCCACAGTCTCACCTTTAGCATGCAATGGAAAGTACCGCTCCCTCAGACCATCATGACTGAGTAACACAAACCCTGAAGCCACAAAAGTCACGCCCCCAGCAAGTAGTATAAAAAGTCAACACAAGTATGATCTATCAAATTTTCAGTCTACAATCTCCCAACCCCACCATCATCATTACTACCGTTCCCACACCATCAAGCCCATCCAAAATGAACCCCCCAAACCTCCTCCCCCACAACCACCATACTCATCATCATCATCATCACCACCACCAACCCCCAACCCTAACAACCTACCTAACCCACCTCCCCTTCCTCCCCCTCCACGACCGCATCACCTCCCTCCACCATCTATCCCAATCCCTCACTCCCCAAATAACCCCAACGGGCACACGCCTCATCACCCACCCATCCTTCACCGGCCCCGCACCCCTCGACCACCTCGGCACCATCTACATCACGACCGGTCGCGACTGCGTGGCCAACAACGCCGACCTGACCACACGCATCCTGCACGCCGACGTCGGCGCGCTTCTCGAATCCATCTACGAAAAGAGCAGAGAGTTGCTGGATGCCGGGATCTAGGACGGGAGTGTCGTCTTGTCTGAGGAAAATAAGCTCCGGGATGGTGCGGGGGCGTGTTGTCGTGGGGAACCGGAGGTAATGTTTCGGGAGGGTTGGGCGGTGGATGAAGCGTTGTGGTTTTATAGAGTGGATTTTGAGAGTAGGTGGGAGGTTGCGGATCGGGATGGGGAGAGGGTGTTGTTTAGGGCGAGTGTTGGGATGTTGGAGAGGGCGGCGGAGTGGGAGGGGGATGGGGAGGGGATGTAGGTGGTGGTGGTGGTGTGCTACGCTGTTTGGATATTTGGATAGGTACTGGGAGCTAGTAGCTAGTAGCTTGTTGATCTGCCGGGTGGATGTAACCTGATAACAGTATGGAGGAATAGCCCTGTGCTCCCATCATCTAGTATTTGCTGGGATGGGTGGTGGAGTGGAGTATCCGGGGTAGATCTACAGTGGGACAAATAGTATTTGGTTCATGATGTAGTTGGGTATATGGTGCTCTCGAATGAATGTATCCCTGTTAATGTCGATAATGGTACATATACACTATATACTCAAATTAGAGATTTAAAGTACTGTCCCTGCATCAAGACCCTTTATCCGAAGTTGCCCCTCCGATGATCGGTGCGGGGAGAATCTGAGCTCATCGCGGGGTTCCGGATATACCCTCATCCCGGGATATAAGCCGGCTTTTCCTACCAATTATTAATCACCATAGATACTTTCTATCCACGACTACTCCACGCAATCATTTTACATAGACACACCATCAAGATGCCTCCCAAAGTCGCCATTCTCGACGACTACCAAAACATCTCCCCCCGGCACTTTGCCCACCTGACCTCCCGCGTCGACATCAGCTACTTCCCCGACACTCTGAACCCGCGCGACCCCGCCCAGCACAAGCAACTCATCCAGCGCCTGTACCCATTCGAGGTTATCGTCACTCAGCGCGAACGCACTCCCTTCTCCAAGGAGACCTTGTCCGCGCTCCCCAACCTCAAGCTCCTCCTCACCACCGGCACGCGCAACCTCGCCTTGGACTCCGCCTACTGCGCGGAGCGGGGCATCCCCGTCGCAGGTACAAAGTACCGCCTCACCGGTGTCCACTCCACGGTGCAACACACGTGGGCACTGATCCTGGGAGCAGCGCGACACATTGCGCGCGACGATGCAGCCATCAAACGCGGTGAATGGCAGGGATCACTCGGTCTGTCGCTGGCAGGCAGAACGCTCGGATTGCTCGGTGTCGGGAAGCTCGGGGCGCAAGTGGGGCGGGTAGCAGTCCAGGCATTTGGGATGAAGGTGATTGCGTGGTCGACGAACCTGACGCAAGAGAAGGCGGATGAGCAAGCAGAGGCTATGGGATTACCTGCAGGTAGTTTTGAGGCTATTCCTCAGAAGCTGGACTTCTTCCGACAGGCGGATGTGGTGAGTTTACATAATGTTCTGTCGGAGCGGAGTCGGGGGATCGTGGGGCGGGAGGAGCTCGGAGCGATGAAGAAGTCGGCCCTGCTTGTGAACACGTCACGCGGCCCGTTGGTAGACGAGACGGCGTTGTTGGAGACGCTGAATCGGGGTGGGATTGCCGCGGCGGCGTTGGATGTGTTTGAGACCGAGCCGTTGCCGGCGGATAGTCCGTGGAGAACGACGGCGTGGGGGAAGGATGGGCGGAGTGAGGTGCTCTTGACGCCGCATATGGGATATGTGGATGAGCAGATCCATGGGTGGTATGAAGAAGTGGCCCAGAATCTGGAGCGGTGGTTGAATGGACAGGAGTTTACGGTGCGGTTGAATTGAGTTTGTGCTGATTTCTGGTCATCCTTTGTTTGGATGTTCAATAGAAGCGGGGATGTGTGGAATGGCGTGGAATACTGTCGATATTTCAAACTAACTAACTACCTAGTTTATTGAGCCCAAAAATTAGACTAAGAAACTCATGCACGCATCAAGAATAGGACTGCACTCTAATGCAGGCAACCCAGTACTATTACGTGATGTACCTCGGCTGATCCACCAGATAACCATAAACAAGGTGCCTGTTCCGTGATCATTCCCGCCCTCCCACTTTAAACTCCATGACTCTGCCAATAGTCCTGCGTCATCATCTGCTGCCAGATCCACTCGTCCGTAGACATCCTCGGTCGATGCAACATGCTGGAGGTCCTTTGCGCCGATACTTAAGGAGGGGAAGAGGTGTTCGTCGGTACTCCCAGTAACGCTCTTACTTCTTCCTACCTACCTACCTACCTACCTACAATACAACCTACATTTCTACTATTACTACCACCACCACTATCACTACTATTCCTCCATCTACCTCTCCTCCAAAATGGCAACCACAATGACAACCACGACCACCACCGCTACAACAACACAAGAACCTACTCCCACTCACCCCCACCTAATCCAAGTCAACCGCAGCCCGATCCCCTTCGCCAGCGGGGCATACAGTCTGGTCTCCGCACCCGCCGGCTCCCTGCTATGCAAAATCACCGGAACCACACCGTCCAAGAAAGCCTACACATCTGTGCAAACGGGACGGGACAGCCACATCGAGTTGAACTCCGATCTGGTGTACTGCAACCACTCGTGCGATCCGACAGTCAACTTCGACATGCACAACATGGAGGTGCGGGTGGTGGATAACCGCGACTTGAAGGCGGGGGAACCGTTGACGTTCTTCTACCCGTCAACGGAGTGGGAGATGGATCAGCCGTTTGAGTGTACGTGTGGCAGTGGGGAGAAGTGTAAGGGGCGGATTGATGGTGCGAAGAACTTGAGTACGGAGGTGTTGGGGGAGTACTGGTTGAATCCGCATATTGCTGAGATGGTGGCTGAGAGGGAGGCGGGGAGGAACTAAGGAGCGAGTTGGTGAGGGGCATGCATAGTGGGGGGTGGGGTGGTGTGATGGTAGACTAGAGGCTTGATAGACTTAGACTTTGGTGTATATATGATGAGTGGGTGGATTTGTTGTGCTGTTGGCTTAGATGTATAGAATTGTTGGTGTGTTTAGATCTGAGCGTTTTATATAAGTGGTGGGAGTAGATGGTGGAAATCAGATCTTGTGATTGTTGTTCTGATGGTGGTGTTGCTATAGTGGGGGTATTATAAGGCTGGATGTTTCACGTGCCGAGGTAGAGAGATAAGAGGAATCAATACCATTGTGATTTGTGTTCAGGGGCACCTTAGCTCATTGTCAAGTTAGGAACCTGAGCAGGTATATTATTTGGACAAGCTCTCGTAGAATCTGTGGATTGTAGCGCCATGTTTACTGACAGGTTATAGTATACCTAAAATGGAAGGCGGGGTAACCACACCACATGATAACAGTCATGTGCTTCAGCTCTCAGTTTCTATAGTAGTTTCGCTCTTGACTTTACTGTAGTCGCCCAACAATCATTGACATTTCGCTTTTTCTTGATTCTACTGAGCAGTTTGTCATTTAAAGTATGATTCTCTCAATACTCTCTATTACCTCACAAGCAGTGTGATAGTATGAGAATAACAAAGGTCTTTTGTCTCTATACATACGTTCCTTGGGACAATACCATGCTAACAATGTATCGATGCACAAATAGTCATCGGTGATCAACCACGTGCCGAGAAAGCTGTTGACTATGTTACTTGCTGAGGCCAGCATTGCGTTCCCTCCATAAGCTTATGTCGCTCTACAACTTCTATGATGAGTAGAGAAGTGGACTATTCTCCGATATGATGTGCAAGCATGAGCCTGCTTCTTCTACCCAGGATTCGATGATAGGGTTAGCTGAAGCCTACGTTTCAATCGGGTTGACAGATCCAGTCCATTCTGGCTATGTACTTGCGTCTGAAGTGATGCCAACACTCAGGAATCACTGTGTAAGGCATGATCGGCACAAATACCTCCGAATCAAATTGTATAATTTCCTATTGGTGAGCGATCGTGAAAAACCGGCAGTGGCTACTTAACTATGAAACATCGTGTTTCAGAAGTTATCCAGAGTCTGAGAAAGCGCCTACAACGAACAGCACCATCTGTATCAATGGAATTGCCCTATGGCGGCTATTTTCGATCTCCAATACAATATTGCACGTATGGTTTCAACGGATAGCTAAGTCCGCAATTCCCTATGTCCGATCGCACTTCCGGCTCAACGGTCGGATTTCGCGTCTTCGGTGTCCGGAGCTTCATATTTACAAATTAGGCTGTTCTGGAACAGCAGGATCACTCCAAAGGAGTGACGTGGGATTTTAGTCACACCACCTATCCGAACACGGAAATTGAGCTCCCTACCTAGCTTCCCCGCTCGGTGTCATCGGAACCATGGGAACTTTGGCATAAATATCTCGATCTACGCAGCTTAAGTTTGATAGGTTCTCAAGCGATTGTCACAAAATGCCTTCTACGATCTTGCTCCAGAACGCGACCATCCTCGTCCCGTCCGGGGATGATGTTACACCACTCCGCGAGCACTCTCTGTTAATTGAGGGGAACAAGATAACGCAGATCTCGTCGCATATTGCACCTCCATCGGCCGACACTCAGATCATCGACTGCACGGGCAAGATTGTGTCGCCTGGGTTTATTGATACGCACCATCATCTGTGGCAGACACAGCTCAAGGGACGTCATGCCGACCATACCTTGATAGAGTATATGCCCACTGGTCAGTTAATTTCTTGAACTCGGTGCTATTAGTTGCTTATAGATGTAGGAAACCTTCAACAAATCAATTATTCACCCGAAGATATCTTCTGGGGCCAGCTGGCAGGCTGTCTAGAGGCCTTGGATGCCGGCACCACAACGGTCGTAGATCATGCCCATATGAATGTCACGGCCGCTCATTGTAAGTTGAAAGACTCCGATTATTCCAGCTTAAGGCTCACCCAGTATAGCTTTGCATGGCCTCCAAGCCACGGTCTCATCTGGAATTAGATCAATTTTCTGCTACACTCCCACTCACACTGTCAAGTCATGGAAGCCAGAGATAGTACCTGGTGGAAATTTCCTGGATGACTGGGTGGTAAAGCAGCTGAGTGATTTAGCTACTGCAGCTCCTTATGGAGACGGCAGGGTTGAAATAGGGTTGGGCTTTGATGGGCTCATGCTTCCAAAGGATGTCGTGGTATCACTTTACGACAGAGCCCGCAAAGCCGGCACGAAGGTTATAACTACACACTACGTTCGGGGTCACTTCAGTAGGTTATCCTACACGGAATATGTACAGAACTAACCAGAACAGGTGATGATTCACTTGTTGATCTACTCGATAGCTATGGTCTGCTCGGACCAGATATCATCCTATCCCACGCAACAAATCTCACATCAAGCGACGTCGAGAAGCTGTCCAAGGCAGAATCATGGGTCTCTTCCACTCCAGGATCGGAACTGCAGATGGCACATGGATACCCAGTCTGCTTCCAGGAGGGATGTAGTAAGATAAGTTCTCTTGGGATCGACTGTCATAGCAGCACCTCTAGCGACATGGTTACCGCTATGCGTCTTGGGTTACAAGCCGAACGAGCTCGTCGGAACGAAGAGGTCATTGCCCGTGGAAAGACTCCCCGCTCGTTGGACCTCTCCGTACAAGACGTTTTCCGTCTGGCAACCATTCAGGGTGCCCGTACCCTACATATGGAAGATAAGTTGGGCTCGATTGAAGTGGGGAAGCTTGCCGATCTAGTCATCTTCGACGGAACCAGCCCGGTGATGGTGTGCGCGAGCGAGCAGGACCCGGTTGCAGCTATTGTCCTTCACTCATCAATTCGTGATATCGATACCGTCATTGTCGACGGCCAGGTGCGTAAGAAGGATGGTCGACTGACACCCGTGGAGATAAGCCCGTCGTTCTCGGAGGTCCACATACCCAAGCAAAAGGTGGCATGGGGTCATGTGGCGCAGAAATTGATTGCCAGCCGGCAGAGCATTGAGGAAGCCAGGATAAAGACTGGTGCCACTGACTTGGATTTCATGGTTTCAGCATCGCTCAAGCTATTTCACGCAGATCAGGCACGGTTTGTATGATCAAGCAGCTGAGCCTGCTCGGTCCTGCAAACTACATTGCTGACGCTCCAACGAGGCTAGAAAGCAGTGAAGAATGCAAAAACCGTAGCGGTAGGATATAGCCGTCCTTGAGAGGCTACAAGATCCGGATATGACGATCCACCTAGAAACAATGTGTGGAATTGGCGGGTTTTAAGTTGGGACAACGTTGGGAACTGTCTGTGGAGCAGAAGAAATAAACGTTGGGTGGTTGACATTATGCCGAGGCTCCATTCCCGAGATTACAATATCAGAACCAAACTTCACTCCTACACTATAAGCAGTACAGAATTTGATGGAAATCTGTTGCCACAGTCAATCCATACAAGACCGTAGACAAGCTAGCAAATAAAACAAATACATTAACCTTGAAAAAACAAGCTTCCTACATGCCCAGATAAGGGTGAATTCGTGGGAAATGACACCCCGTCGATCAAGCAAACGAGTAGGACGGCCCCGTCTAGACACCACCGCCACCACCACCAACAGCACCGCCATCCTCTCCCCCAATCGTCGCACCCAAGTCCGGCGTGCTCAGCGCACATACCGACTCAAGAAGGAAGCCGTGTTCCGAAACGCGATCGACAGAGCCGAACAGCTTGAAGCGAGATTCCGCATCGTCAGGGAAGAGGTAGCAGGGCTACTCTCTGATGTCGCCACTGAGGAACAGCAACTACATCCTACAATCCATGCTCGCTTAAAACGACTTCATGAGATTCTCCTATCCGATGACGGTGATGACACTCCCGTCGTGACAAGCACGGACAATACTACACCATCATCCTCGTCCTCGTCCTCATCTACTCCACCCGCACATCATCACCAACAACCAACATACCCCAATAACCACCAACCTTTAATCCACAATCAACCACTCACATTCCTCCCCCCTCCTCTACCAACAAAACACCACACCTATGCCTTCCACGAACCCCGTTTCTTGCGCAAACTCCACCGCTACACCCTCGAGCACGCCTACCGCCTCTTCACCGACCCGCGCTCCAACCCATCCACCATCTACCGCGTCTTCCGCCTGGTGCCTTGCATTCGTGACCCGCAGAAGACACAGCCTCGCTTCAAGCAGCTCTTAACGGGCGGGTGTACCGATCCGCTCGAGGTGCCGGGATTACCCTTCTATGGTATTGGCGGCGCGGGCACTCATTTCCGGGGTGTTGACGGGGATGTACCGCGGAATAGGAGGATGCCGGGGAGGGTGTTGGGGGTGATGAGCAGCAGTAGTAGTAGTAGTAAGAGTAGGGTTGATATGTTGGAGATGTATGGCCTTGGAGGGACGTGGTTTGATTGTCGTGATGTCGAGGGGTTTTTGGGATTGATGGGGGTGGATGTTACTAATGGGGGGATGTATTTGAAGTGTTGTGGGTCTGGGTCTGGGGATGCTGTGGGGGAATATGTTTTGGATGTTGAGGGGTTCTTTTCGAGTGAGTGGCTTCCTTCTTTGATGGTTCCAGTTAGGGTTTTGGTGATATGCTGATGAGTGATGTACTAGGACTTCTTCCTGGACTTGTGATTCTTGGTCGTGCGCCGGGGTTTAGGGAGGGGGATGTTAGGCGGGCGTTGCAGGGGTCGGTGAGGAGGGTGGATCATATATGATTTAAGTAGATCGCTTTAGGCTAGTTTTTTTCGGCTCGGGCCTGGTTTGTGTTGATTATAATATCTGTGTGGGGATGGTTATAATGTTCGGACTTTGATGTAGTATCATAACTCCTGTTATTAGAGTCTGTCTTATTTCGAAAATCAATGCTTCTTGAAGTAATGATTATTTACAACAAATTATTTAGAAAGTTCTTAGTCCGTATATCATCTCGCTTCAGATCAGG